CGAAGGATGTAGGCAGTTCTACAAATGATATACGAGAATGCTGGTTTCTACAGATACATTAAAGACAATTCTGGGACAGCAGCAAAGCAGCTAACGCAGACTTAATTACAAGCACTGCTCCAAGCCGGAAGGCCAGGTGGGGATGGGGCAGGTATTAAGAAAACAGCCTCAGGCACTCACTTTTCTGGCTCAAGAAAAGTCACAAAGGCCCCAGACGCTAACTTTCCATATGCTCAGTTGTGGCACCCACAAGCTGTGAGTATGGGAACATGCAGGTCGACCGTTCTTCATTGTGGGCTATTTATGGAAAACCAAAGGGTAGGTGATGCTGACTGAGCAGGTGGATTTTAGAAAAATATTTCCCTAGCTGCTTTAACCTATGCAAAAATTCTAAACTGAAGAAAGCAACATGATGCTAATTAAAGCTGTAGCTCAGAGTCTGCCAAAACTGCTGGCTTTGATGAATGAGCTTTTCAAAGTCTCCCCAGTCTCACGGAAGGTCTACCAGCCAGCAGGCTCCTCATACGAACACTCTGTAATCAAAGTGCTTCATTCTGCCACTGAGAGGTAAGCCCCATGTTATTTTAGAAGAATAACTATAATGATCACTATTTAACATTTAATTTTAAAAATCAAAAATATTCTAGACACTTGTATGAAATCTTGAAAAGATATATAACCGCTCCAGCTGTTGGGGATCACTGGTGGATAAAATCCTGGTAGCCCATGCTCCCATCTGGTGACTCTGTGAAATAAGAATTGGCATTTCTCGGCCGAGCTCATTGAAGACCAGAGATTGAGCAAAACTGGGAAGACTGTGTTATCGAGGTGCTCCAGATCAAGGGCAGTTAAAATGGTGGCAAACTTATTCATTCTGGAGCTGAGTGTGTTCTTTTTAGACCACGGGTCAAGACGTAGGAAGCATGGCTCATGTGCAGCACAAAGAACGCCCTTCAGAGGGATGAGATGGAAGGACTAATTCTAGCCAATGGCATGTGAGCAGCATGGACCTGTGTGAGTTGTGAGCTCTTGGGGAAAGCCTGCTGGTGCTTCTCCTGCTTGTGCATGTCTGCAAGAACAGTAGGGCTGTGACCGCCAGGCTTCGCTTGCATTTCTGTCAGCCTGGACCTCTAATTCTCCCAGCTCCTGATGACCTTTCCTTACCCACATGTAACCATTATCTTGAAGACCGTAGGATCACTCCCGTCTCTCATCCTATTTTTTTTTCTACATTTGTTTGCCCATAACTTATATAGTGTTTTGGGCATTTAAACTTTTAAGTGAATGGAATAATGCCATCTATACCAGTCTCTACATGGCTTTTCTGTTCCAACAAAATTAACGTTAGATGAATTCCCCCACAGTTCATCTCTTTCCTTCCTGGTGGACATCTGGGTAGTTTTGATTTTGCTAAAATAACCAGTACTAGTACTGCCATACATGGTTGTGTGTCCTTGAGCACAGGTGCAAGGAATTTCAAGAATTTGTACTTCAAAGGGAATCAGCAAGTTTAATTGTGTATATTCCCAAGTAAAAATGCTACCACCTGAGGAGTGCCTCCTCTGTGCAAGGACACTACTTAAGTTCCACTGGTCCCCACAGACCTTGGGATATACTTTAGAACAGGTCGTTTGGGTGCTAAGTATCTCTACGTACATTTTGCCTCTTGTTGTATTTACACTCCACAGATGAGGGCGCTGGAGTGCGCTTATTTGAACCAGGTCCATTTAATGCCAGGTAGCAAAGGAGGAGGACTCCTTCTGGAGTCTGTGCTTTTACATACCAAGCTTCCTTACCTCTTAGCTCCAAAGTCCTTAGAGGTGCTAAAGCCCCATAGACTCCCAAGACCTGCCAAACATATCCATGTTGGCCAATGTTAGATATGGATCCTTTCTTTTTTTTTTAAGATTTATTTATTCATTATGTATACAGTGAGTGTTCGGCCTACAGGCCAGAAGATGGCCCCAGATCTCATTACAGGTGGTTGTGAGCCACCATGTGGTTGCTGGGAATTGAACTCAGGACTTCTGGGAGAACAGCCAGTGCTCTTAACCTGTGATCCATCTCTCCAGCCCTGATATGGATCCTTTCAACATTGCTTCTATTTTTACTTTCCTAACTAGAAGTTGGGCTACATTTTACACATTTGTTGGTCTTTTAGATTTGTACTTCTTCTGTGGCTATTAAAATGGATTTTTTTGTGTGTTTTTATTTTGGGTCATTTCCCTTTTTCTTATATATAATAATCAGGAAAATATTATGGTCTTGCATGTTGATTGATTTGTTTTTATACAATTAGTTATTTAGGCTATGACAGCAAGCTTGGCCTTGTCTATATTCAAACAGCAATTATGTAAGTGGAGATGGTTTCACTAACGATGTCTCTGCTGCCACAATACAGTTGTGAACAAGCCTGTTTATCAAAGACATACCGGGCTCGAGGCAGCCAGTTCTGAAAAACCTTCCTTTGTGTCAGGTTAACTCAGAGACAGAATATATCTATCCCTGGAGCCTGATTCTTTTACCGGAGGCTAAGAAGCACAGCCCAGAATGGAGATTATAATGAATAGAACCTGAGAGCAATGTATACATACCTAGATGTGATCAACTAGACTTTGCATTAAATTGTCTTCTTAGATGCAGATTAGGACACCAAACTGTATCCACACTGAACCACATTTATAAAGGCATAACAGAACAGCCACTCAATTTTAATCTGGCTTGACAAGGAGTCTGGAGTAGGCGCCAGCAGGGTGAGGCTAGCTCAATGATGTAAGTGCTTGGTGTAGTGTCTAGACAGCTACAGCAGCTTCAAGCATCTTAACTTTAGTGAAAAAATCCAAGGCAGAAAGATGAGAGAGAATACAAAGAGATCCTTCTCCCCAATTGACTCTAGATTTGTTTTCTGCCATAGACCTGTGAAGAGTTTTTCTCAAATCTCCCAGGTGACTCCTTATGTTCCGTCAGCCAGATCTCTAAGCTAAGCCTGGCAAAGGAGAACAACATTGCTGTGGTTTACTTAATTAATTTGTGATTCATCCCTTGAAACTGAGCACGCTACAGTTTAAACAAAACTGCACTCCATTAGCAAAGAGGTAGAGAAAGCAATCATTGAGCAGGCTGTCCACAATAAGTGAGATAGAAGACAGGAGACCTATATCAATGGAGGAGGCAGCCCCTGAGCCATCCTCATGTTCCTTCCTAAAATGCATTCCTAGTATTGGGAGTATAGCTCAGTGGTAAAGTACTTACCTACTATATGTGAGGCCCTAAGTTTAATTCCCAGGGTGTAAAATATAAATAAAGAAATTAAAATGCAGTCCTGGGGACAGTTGGCATATTTCCAGAAACAGGCATAGTTTCAGAGAAACAGTGTCAAAAAATTTGAGCATAACTCCAATTTGCACTCTTTCAAGAAAGTGAGCAGCATATTCACCACCTGCCTTTTAATGCTCTGTGAAATGGTGGTGACCACAGCAACTGTCATCAAAGGCCTGTGGGTGAAGCCAGCCACTGTATGTATGATATATGTCAGGATGAACACAGACCAGCAGTGTGTTACTCACTGTGTTTGGCTCATGCTCTCTCCTGCACACAAAAAGCAATCACTGTACCTGATAAAAAAAACAAGCACCCCATTTTCCCAAGCAGCCATAACACACCTGTGGGTTAGTGTGCCAGGAGAAGGTGTACCAGCCAGTGGCAGACTAGCCCTTCCCTTAGACCAGACAATCTAAGTGTTATATGCTAAGCTGAATTCCCAATACATTCTTGCATGTTCTAAAATAAATAAATAAAACAGGGGATGAAGAGATTGCTCAGTGGTTAAGAGCTCTTCCAGAGGACCTGGGCTCAATTCCCAGCACCCACATGGCCACTTACAACTGTCTTTAATTCCAGTTCCAGGAAACCTGATACCCATAGCAAAACACTAATGCACATAAAATAAAAACTTTTTTTGATGTTTTATATCTTTGGCTTTATTTTTTTAATTTTTTTTTATTTTATTTTAATATACCATTCAGTTCTACATATCAGCCACAGGTTCCCCTATTCTCCCCCCTCCCGCCCCCTCCCCTTCCCCTCAGCACACTCCCCATTCCCACCTCCTCCAGGGCAAATCCTCCCCCGAGGACTGTGATCAACCTGGTAGACTCAGTCCAGGCAGGTCCAGTCCCTTCCTCCCAGACTGAGCCAAGCGTCCCTGCATAAGCTCCAGGTTTCAAACAGTCAACTCATGCAATGAGCACAGGACTTGGTCCCACTGCCTAGTTGCCTCC